CAGAATGTAATGTGTTCAGAGACTTCAAAGTCCTTGATGGGAGGACTTTCTGAATGCCTCAAGAACGCCTATAAATAGAGGCGGTCACCACTCGGCAAGGCATCCTCTTGGTCACTTYTATCCCATCGTTGGAAGCCTAGAGTCGAGTGGAGAGTGTCTCAGACCAGCAAACTGAGTTAAAGTTTTCTTCAAGTCTCGAGTAGACAAATGGAAGGTATGCGCCTATTTGATTCTCTCATTAATTTAAAAATGCTCAGAGGTGAATGCTATGCAGATTTCCAACATTTTTTCTTCAATAATGAGATTCTTCAAGGCTGCATTGGAAGAAATGGTTGTAGACCTGATACAGTAAGGAGGGAGTGAAGAAGATAGCCAGCAAATGGCTGCTCCAGGCTCCAGCCATAGAGGGTACAATAGTGACGACTCTACATTTGGTTATGTGCCGAGAGGTCTGGCCGTAAGTCTGATCAATTTTGCATGATGATAGGGGTGCTAAAATGTCCAATGATGTATAATAATCAACGACATAAACTTGGTAACCTGAAACTCCTAAGCAATTGATAAGGTACAACCCATCTCTTGATTTTGTTGCCGATGAGCAATTGAATAAGGAGTATACATTAAAACCTTGATATTGTTGAAAGGGAGAAGATGATAGATTGAGGTTTAGAAGTCGTCTAATTCTTCCACTTCCAGTTGCAGCAAAGAACTTTGCTCCTACTGAAAGGAAGAAGAGGGTGAAGAATACTAGAATAGGAATGGCAACGGGGAGGGCATGGGGCAGGGCACCCCCTCCCCATCCTCGCTTCATGGATAAAATCCCCTAACCAATCCCTGGTATCAGGGTATGGATTCAACTCCAATCCCTGGCCCTGTTGGGTATGGGGAATCCCCAACACATCCCTGCCCTACAACCAGCCAAGTTTTGTTAAAACTTGAAATCCCATGTTATATGGATATTGAAATAGTTGAAATGCCAGGTTATCATCTGTTCATTTATTCAGTGGCCTAAATGAGCTAATGCACAAAGTATTTTTAGAGTAACAAAATGGATACTCAAAAATAAAAAGTTTAGATGAAAGAAAAGAATCAGGCAATTAATTGCATTTTCAAATGAGCATGAAAGATCATGTCAACTGATTACAATCCATAAACATAATAAACACTTCCAAGCATAGCTAACTTTAGAAAACCTAGGAGGCAAAGGTGAACAACTACACACAAAAACATAGATGACTGATTGACTGCAATACACAATGCTGCTACTTGTAAAGGATTCATGAATGGAAGGGATTAAAGGGAAGAAGACCAAGCCACAAGTACATGCATTATAATAAATTACAACTATAGGTACATGTTGACCACCACAATCATAATAGCATAGAAGGTGCTAAACCAATGCCACAAAGGTACCCATGACGAGTTCAAGATTCGACACAAACTCGCGATAAGCTCTGAGTCTACACAAGCTTACAATAAACTCAGAGCCTAAAACGAGCTTGCAAGAGCTCAAGGCAACCGTAGGCCTGCAATAAACCTAAATCCATAATACCAAAGACAATTTTAGAGTCATCACAAACCTGTGATGAGCATAAAGCCATTGTGAGGCTGCGATGAGCTTAGATTCGTTGCATATGTGTGATGAGCATGAGCCACCGCAAGTTTGCGATGAACTTAGATCCATCACAAACATGCGATGAGCTCAAGTCCATTGCAGACCAAAGGCAAACAAAGAAATGCATGCTTCACCGGCATYGCGCGTGACAAAATTCCCAATAGGATTAGAAAATTCATGTGAGATTAGTATCGATGTCATTTGTGCCACGTCAATCTATTAGATTTGCAAAAGGAAGTAGCATATGTGTATTATGAGAATCCTCAAACGAAAGGAAACCTCGTCCTTGTGATATCTCATATGACATGTGGCAAAACCCTAGTGGTGTTCCCTGACAGCTGACACCGAATCAAAGATTCCCTTCCCTAGTGGGAGTCAAACACTTTTACCTCCTTCCTTTCAGGACCTCGGGATCTCTCCCTATAAATAGACACCTGACCCATAACAAGAACATCATTCTATCATTCCATCATTCTACCACCTTGTCACTCAGAGCCTTTAAGCCCACCCTTTACCCTTAGTCGTCCTTCGTCTTTCAAGGAGACCCCCGTGCATAACCTTACTACCACACTCACAAAAAACATCATTATATTACCTAATTGCACTGACCTAATTCTTCTTGCATACCAAGAATACCAAAAAGAAGATTGGAAGAAGAAAAGAGGTTTTAGATTTTAGGATAAGACTAATACAAATGCATGAAAGTAAAAACATAAGAATGCAAATGTTCATTGTTGCTACGATGAATTGAGAAAGGGAGGAGAATGGAGCCAATAGTCTACACTCCACCGTCAGTGTTCTTCTTGTTGGTTGATTTATGGGATTGCAATCTAGTTTTTGGCAGGAGTTAGATTAGGGGGAAGTTGTACTGCCGATTGCACTCTACGAAGAGGAGGAGAACTGGAGAAGAGTAAACAATGAAGTGAAGAGAAGTCTAGAAGTGAGAAACCCAAAATACAAAACCTAACTCACATATATAAGGGGTATTATTGTAATTTACAACTAAGGTCAGGTCAGGTTCGGGGATTTATATGCAGACCCCATCCCCACCCCATCCTTGATTCGGGGGAAAAGAAAAATCTCCAAACCTGATCCGTCCTCGTTTAAGTTCGGGGCAAGGTGGATCAGGGACACAGTTTTGTGGGGAAAATTGCCATCCCTAGTGAAGAAGAAGAAGAAGAGGGAGAGGGATGAAGGGCAAAATGGGTTTTAAAAAATATTATATGCCAAGTATGACCTACGACGAAATATTAATGGATGCTAACAGTAAGGGTAGAGCTAGTCAATTGTCAAAAACAATAGAGGTAGCATTAGACAATAGTCAAACAATAGGGGCATGTTTAGTTAAGGCCATAAGAGTAGTTTAAGATTCTACTTAGATGGTTTAGATGTTAAGTTCACTTTTGAATGGTGTGGATGAAAGATTCAAGGGTGTAGTGTGGTTCCGAAAGCAGGGGTGGCCACGAGCCAAGCTCTCGGTTCGTGAAAAGCTCGATTTGGCTTGGTTTAAACTATACTTTGAGCCTAGCTTGAGCTCGAGCCCAATAAAGCTTGTCTCATGAGGCTCATGAGCCTAATCGAGCTTTTACATATATACATGTATCTATGTATACATGCATATATACATATACATACATATATACATATATATGTATATATGTATATATTATAGAGATAGCAAATAATAAATATAAAAAATATTATACATATAAAAATATATATTTAAATTTCAATTTCAATGAAAATAAAAAATTAAAATTCTCTAAACTATCTTTATGGTTTAGCTAATTGACTAACTCTTTACCTTTACTGTTTATATATTGTCTTAAAGTATCCCTACTGTTTCTAACAATTGACATCATCGTTAAACACTAACAGAAAAAAAAGTGTCGAATTTACCCTCCATTATTCCTCAAATTTACAAAATAAAACTCAATTGATGAAAAAATTCAGGAACCTTCCTGAGTTCTCCAGGTTGTGCATTTATCGTATCTCGCTACCACCATCATCATCCCCACTGATTTGCCCTTTGTTATTTTAAGAAGCAGGAGATTCCTGGGGTGGGTCCAGAATAGCTATTCCCTCAAATGGGGGATTGCCATTCTGCCCAAAAGGGGAACAAGATTCCAATTCTGCACAACCAGATGTCTGAAATCATTTTGATTCCGATTCCGGACGCCTATTCCTGCAAATCAAACGGGGCCTTAATCTATTACACTTCGTACGAATTTCCATTTTGCGTTTTATTCCGAATAAAAAATATATATGTTTCGAAAAAAAAAATCAAAACAACAATATCATCAGGGTATGTCCTTGTATAATTGGGCATGGTGAGTATACATGTAGAGATTTTGGGTTCTGATTGCATCCATGGCTTCAAATTTCTTTTTTCCCCCTGTCAAGAAAGTGGAGATTGAAGGAGTTCCAAGGTCTCAGATGGATTCTAAAGCCGGCCAATTCTCATGGGATGGAATTTGAATATCTTCATCTTCACGTGTAGTAGTTTGAAGCTTTTTATTTATTTATTTATTTATTTATTTTGAGTTGATTTTGGTGAATGCATTTGTACGGCAGTGCACAACTGTATAGAATTAATACCGTTTAATAAGAAGGCAAAAAGTGATTGTACATTTGTACTGATATGAATGCAATTTTGTTCAAATAAGAGTACACGAATATCAAGGCAGGAACCTACTTAATTTCACATTAACCAACTTTGAGGATAAAGCTTGCTTTTTATTTTGAATGCAAAAACGGTCGAACAGGGAAATTTACTTGCATTTTCAATAGAAAAACATATTCTTACCAAATGCATGTAAAACTAAACAAGAATGCAAACACAGTACAACTTAAAATTCATTGGAGCTTAAATACATAGAATTCAGTGCGGCAAAAAGAAAGGAAAGGAAAGGTAGAGAAACCAGGTAAATGATTGTTAAAAGCCATGTCATAATGATCATAATGCGGGCGCCATCTTATTGGCAATTGTGAATGATGATCCTCTTAGGCTGTGTTTGGTTTGAAGGAAAAAAAGTAGAAAAAAGAAAGGTAAGGAAACCCACACAAGGTTTGTAAAGGTTTTCTTACTTTTCCCTTCCTTTCCCTACTTTTTCCTTTAAACCAAATATAGCCTTAAGGATACATTTCAATAAATCCCCTCCCCTAGGGGAGGGAGAGGGTTAAACAGATTTTGTTCTACCAAGTCGGCATTGAAAGATATGTCTACATTTCTTTACTCAACATTACAGTCAGCACTAAAAACTAAATTCAATTGGCGAGCCTTGTCCCAACCATATGGGATCGGCTAAAAAATAATCTTGCCATCTAACGCACTAAATAAAGCAATGATAAATAAAAATGTGAACCCTAATGGACTGAAATTATATAACTTGTAAGTAGAAACTGGACTTTTATGTAAGCGTAGATATACAGATGCAATTACAGTTACAAAAAAATTTATCATAATAATCAGTGCATTTCAACTTCTAAGTTTGTTATCTCCAAAATCAAGTAAAAAATAAGGCAATAAAGCCTTCAGTCTACAGTGAAATGGCAACAGGGATGTGTGATGGCAATAAAGCCTTTAGTCTACAGTGAAGAAATTGACCGTCAAAAATTCATTTACCCCGGAATAGGAAGCATCATGGGTAGGGTGAATGGCAACCTTTGGTAATGGAATGAACCATACTTGGGTTCATGTCTGCCAACTTACCACCAAAACTCTCCTGCTTGAAATGCACTGCAATACAGGAGTTCAGGGCTAGACATTGGATATTTTAAGCACCATAGAGTTATTATCAGTGTCACTATCAAGAGGTTGTGATGGGCCTAGTCTGGTTTGAACACATGCAAGAGCAGTCTAGCTCAGACAAGGCTCTATGCACAAGGCGTTTGTCACGATTGATCATCAATCTGATCATAGGAAGCTTCAAAGAGACTTGGTGCCAGATCTCGTTCACTGTTCCATTTGGATCCTCATATTCAAAATACCGTTTCACCTGAATCATGTAATACAACCTCAGCACAATGACTTTAGCCAACTGTTCAGGGAATAACATCCTAAATCAAGAAATAAAATGTAGACTTCAATTTTAAGAAACTTCACTCATCTGAAATCAATTTTCTTCATTGTCTAATTTACAACCGAACCCTATTCAGCACCCAATTGCTGAATATTATAGGAGCTTCTCCTTTCCCTCTTACAGAAGTTTGGTATCAGAACGTGGGGAAAGATGCCTAATGGCAACATTTCTTAGGTAAACAATAAACTTAAGAACCTAACTTAACCAATGAATACCGAGAGATCAACTTGAGGCCCAAGTTCATTCAGTATAACCAAGGGTATTTTTCTTTAGGGATAAAAATTGACAATTTTTAAACCTTTTATAAGTAATATACAAGCTACTCAACAATATAATAGTAAAAATACCCATTAAAGCCTGCAATTTTGGGGTCAAAATTCATTATTAAAGCCCTTTAAAACCAGTGAAAGTTGGACTATCTCAATGCTATATTGATAACAATGAACATGCAATGCAGTCACTTCCTCTTTATAGTAGATCTAATAAAATTCAAATAAGCCGCAACACCATCCTGCTAAAATTTAAAATCCTAATGCATCAGTTTAAGGAATTAAAAAATCCAAGGGCTTTAACAAAGCTCCATTCCAGTTCAAGCATATTCCCCATTGGAGTTGCCACTGGCAGGGTTTAGAGTCCCATCCATCCTTTTTGGGAATTTGAGGCGATGGGGCCACCAGGAATCATAATCCTGAACTCATTTTAATTTTGGTGTTTCCTAATATGTCCAATGGAGGTCTGAACCAGTACTGGGTAAGCTTTGAATTGAGAAAGGGGAAGGGATTAGGCATCATCCCCTTTATCAAACCCAATTAGGGCCTGAAATGGGCATGTTTATAGAAGGCACTGGAGTTGGTTGATTGTCTCATCCTTTTAAGTTATTTATTCTAATGTTTGTGGTCCACATCTGAGGGAGAGCCTTGGCGCTATGGTTGGGTTGCTCCATTGCTACCTGAAACAACCTCTCTGTCTGTGCAGGGGTAAGACAGCGTACATGTCCCTCCCCAGACCTCCCATTGGCGGGAGCCTCATGCACTGGGCTGCCCTTTGTGGTCCATATCTAGTTGTGCCTTTATTTAGTATTTAGATACTTTGTTGATGATTATTCTGGAATGACTTGATTATATTTAATGCAAAAAATACTGAATTATTTCCTTTCTTTAGATCCTTTTTGTTGTTGAAATCAAAACTTAGTTTGCTTTAATATATTTGGATTTCAATCTGCTAATGCAAAAGATCTTTATTTTCATTTATTGCGTTCTTTGATGAGCATGGTTTAAGACATCAAACTTCTTTATAAAAACCATCACCTTTTTCAAGTGGCTAGGGCCCTTCATATTTAGATGCAGTCCCTAAATCCTATTGGAATGATGCTGCCCTTACTGCATGCTATCTCAGACAAAATTTTGCCTCGTATTCTGGGTGATGAGACTCTTCATTATATTGTTTTTCCTTATATCTCATTATTCCCTCTTCTACCACATGTTTTGGATGCAACTGCTTTGCTCACATATTTAATCAAATTTGGATAAACTTAATCTGAGGGTTGTAAAGTGTTTCTTTCTGGGATACTCAAAGAATCTAAAAAGGTCAGTGTTATATCCTACTCTGTCATCATTTTACTAGTCCAGATGTCTCCTTTACTATTCCACCCCTACTTTTCTAGTACAACTCCATCTTTTCTACTTGATCTACACCCACCGGCTCTCCCAATCCTTTTTTTTTATCAGAAACGATAACTTTCATTAGAGATAAATTAACCTGAAATACAGAATTCAACCCTTATTAGAAAAGGTTGATCCAATAAACATCAAACATTACAGCACTGCCCAAAAAAGACTCTCCCTTGCAGTCCCTTGTTTTGCTAGGGCGTCAGCAAAACCATTTGCTGATCTCCT